TGCTATTATTGTCACTCAGATCTCAGTTTAATATAACCTCCTCAGACAAAGCTTCCCTAAGATCCCACACTATGTCAGGGCCTGTAATGAATATCATGACACCTTAATATTATGACTCTGCAATACTAGTCATAATTTATAGTTATAAATTTATATCATCATTTGATCACCTCCCCCATGAGGCCATAACTTCCACAAGAGCAGACACTGTATCTCCCCCTTTTTATTTTATTTTTATTTTTGCTTTTGCGTGTTTTTTGATTTTTTTCACTGATATTTGCTAAAAACTCTATATATTATCTCATTCAATCTTCACACAACTTTATGAGGAAGACACGTTATTTCCATTTTATAGATAGGAAAACTGAGGCTTGGTGAGTTTAGGTGCACTGCCCTTGGTCACACAGCTAGTGAGTTGTAGACCTGGGGTTCATTCATAGACCATCTCCGTCATGAGCTTGACTCCTGACAGCAACTGAGTTCACCTAAGACCCTCCCTTCCCTCCCCGTTGCATCTCCCCCAACTTCTAACTCAGTGCTGGGCACCCAGGTGTTGTGTGATAAATATGCTTTGAAGGAATAAATATAATGAATGTATGAATATATTGAATGAGTATATATATAGTGTATATTATATGTATATGTGTATATATATAATAAATATATATATTGAATGAATGAATATAATGACTATATATAATCATGATGATGTAGAGATAAAGCTTCGTTTAACTGTATGACTTGGGTTCTGTCTCTCACTTTCAATTTCTCAAATTCTGTTTCTCAATACATTGTTTGTAAAATTGGCACATTTTATTAAGTGATAGTTAACATGTTTCAGCACTAAAATCCTATGGTCTTTTCATTATCATTATCATTATCATTATCATTATGGACTGCAAATAATCCTTCAGCATCTACTGTGTGAAGACTATCCTGTTGGTTATTCCTTTTTGCAGGTTTCTCTTTTTTCTAAAATACCTGAATGAAACTCACAAAGCCAAAGTGCTTTACAGATTAATGAGACCCAGTATATTCACGATGCGTGACTTCTCCCTATTGCCTTCCAGAAAGATAGCTGAGCATTATAATTGGTCACTTGGCACCAGAATAGCACATGAAGATCCTCTACGCTTTTAGCAGCGTAACCCAAAGGAATGATCAAGCTTATATGTTCTCCCAGTATTGTTACCATCGGAAATAGAATTCCTGCGGAGTGAAAAGAAGACACTTTTTATTCTAAGGTAATGTGAGAAATTCTGGACTTGAGTTGAAATTCAAATGAAGTGACTCTTTTTGTCCATGAAGTACTGTTTTAAACTAACCAGAGGAAAAGGTCAGTAAATCACAGTATGGACAAAAGACAAAACAATTCTTAATATAATCAAACCATAACATAATTCTACTTTGTGAGATAGGATAGTTTTCTTTCCTATAATTATATTTGATGAAGGAAGCTGAAATGTCTCCAAATATCTTTTCTTCTGGCCTTATTTTCTCTTTCAGTGAAACAGGCAATTAAATGTATGCTTGATGGATGTTTTCATTCTCATAAATCTTCTGTAGCTGTGTGTGGCCCACTGTTGTCTCTTCTAGCATCTTGTTTCTAAGTTTCTTGCAGGAAACTTATTAGTCCTTAGAGTAGATAGAGTATAGAAAAATTAAAATGGGCCCATATTTTCATGAGTTTAAAATGTTTCTTATGCTATGTTAGGCAGTGCATGGGAGAGGAGCTCCTTAAGAGAAGGAATATAGAGATATAGATATATCTTTGGGATCACACTGTACATTTATAATTAACATATAACTCAAGAAATATCTGATTAGCATGTCAAACTGAATGACAGGAAGCTAGGTGCATTATGCTCAGAGAAAATTCAGAGACCACTGAGAGATCAGCTCCTTTTAGGTGACCATTCCCAAAGGGATTTCCCTCTTAAAGATGCCCCCCGGTGAAGGGAGATGTGTGGCAGGGGGGGAGGAGAGATGTTTCGTGGGGAGAAGAGTCTGAGCGTCCCTACAATCTAAGAAAGCGTGCAGCCAGCTTTAAGTCTAAGAATTAATGGCAAGTAAATGTAACTCAAAAAAACTCTCCTTTGTGTCCACATATATAACGATACCATTCAATATATCATGCATTTTATTTCACTCATTGTCTTCCCCAGAAACCTTGGGAGACATGATTTCAAAGTTAGTATCAGGAATGGTAATATATTACCAAAGCTTTTGGTTGGTTTGCTTTTCTTTTGGGTGTTTCTAATTGTATATATGGACTGCTAGAAAGTTTTGGTCACATATGCGGTGTGCACAGAGCAGTGGATTAGACTGGTTGGTGAGCTGCAGATTTATCCTTGCCTCCCTTTTATGACGATTGCTTGTTTTCCCATCTCCCATTTTTTTAATTTATGCAATTTACCTGTGTCTTATGTCTCACACCAAGATACCATCAATCCTTTTTTATTTGTAAAAGGTTTGATATACATATTCATATATGTAGACATTCACACTTAAATTTATCTTATTTTATTATTATTATTTTTTTTGGTGAGGAAGATCTGCCCTGAGCTAACATCTGTTGCCAATCTTCCTCTTTTTGCTTGAGGAAGATTGTCCTTGAGCTAATATCTGCGCCAACCTTCCTCTGTTTCCTATGTGGGATACCACCACAGCATGGCCTGATGAGCAGTGTGTAGGTCCATACCCATGATCCAAACTTGTGAACCCCAGGCCACTGAAGCAGATCACACGAACAGAACCACTACACCACTGGATCAGCTCCCATTCTACTTTTTAATAACTGTAGAGAGAAGAAATTAGGCCAGAAATGTCTCTTGCAATGTTCATTCCCAGTTATAATTCTGCAAACAAGCTTTTTTTTGCAGATTCCCAACTGCAAATTCCCAACTTGTGTAAAAGACACATATTAAAGAAGGGGAAGTTTCTGCATGAGAATATATGAAATTCTAGGGAGTCAATATCATAGGTAAAATTGGAAGTCCTTGGGAGGTAAGGCAAATATATCAGAAGGACAGATCTTTTTCAGAGATAATGAAATCATAAGGAATGCAATACGTAGTTCTAACTTCTAGTTACAAAGTGCTTAATCACATCTGTGATCTCCTAAAGTCCCACTGAACTAAGCAAAGTAGGTGAGAAAATAGAGTTTTGGAGGTTTTAATTTTATTTAAAGTTGGCAGCAGACAACTAAGATCAAACACAGATCTCTTGGTTCTTAGTCATATGCTGCTTCCAGGAATACGCTTTGTTAAAAATGACCTTAGCGTCTGACAGCCTTGAAATTCTAAGAGAGTTGAAAGGGCAATTATTCCAATCCTCTTTTGTTATTATGAAAAATTTCTACTTTGACAATAACTATAGCATTAATATTTATTTTACAGTTAAAAATTATAGATTTTCACCATCAGATAGATACAGTTCCGAGAGACCAATTCTTCATTTCTCTAGCTCAATTTTAAGCACATAGCCAAGCATATGACCAAGATTACGTTTTCTCCCCCTAACAGAAGAGATTTTAAAGCCTTGGATCTAGTAGCAGAAATACTATGTCCCCTGTCAATTCAGAACCCTGACAATCATCATTTAGCCCCCTTTTGGGGACCCCCTGGGTTGTAACATAATGAAGCAGAGAGGGTGCTTCCCTCAGTGCTGGCAATAATTCAGTCTCCTTCTACCTTCAAGGAAAAGAAGACTATTAGAGATTGAGGTCCATGACTTTTTGTACTAACAAATTACCAAAAACTTGGTGACTTAAAACAACAGAAATTTATTACCTCATAGGTCTGGAGGTTGAAAGTCCAAACTCAATGTCACTGAACCAAAATTAAGGTGTTGGCAAGAACACTCCACCCAGAGGCTCCAGTGGAGAATCCATTCTCTGCCTCCTCTGGCTTCTTCTGGCTGCTGGCATTCCTTGTCTGTGTATCACTCCAATCTCTGCTTCTGAGTTTCCATTGCCTCATCCTCTGGTATCTGTAATCAAATCTCCCTCTGCCTCCATCATATAAGGATATTTGAGATTGCATTAGGGGTCATCCTGATAATTTACTCATCTCAAGATTCTTAATTTAACAACTCTTTTCCAACATAAAGTAACATTCAGAGATATCAGGAATTAGAACATGGATATATAGAGGGTTACTATTCAGCATACCATATTTCCCAAATTCATTCAGTTTGAACACTTTAGTTTTTTGGTTTCTTCCTTTCATTTTTTAAAATCTTGGTTCTATAGGAAATTCAACCCCATTGTGAACACAATTATCCATTGATTAATGTGATTACTTCCTTTCAGGGTACATTGAACATCATACAGGTAGCTATTGTTTCCAATTCCTATTATCTAAGTAAATCTATTCTTTTATTCAAGTTATACATTTTCAACTTTGTGCAAATCTGTGTTCTTGGTTTTGTGGCTAAAAAGTTGATCAGAATATAACTATTGCCTTTGAAGAAATTGCAGTAAAATGCACTTCCAAAGATATTCCAATAAATAGTTAAAATAATATAGGTGTGCTTCCACACGTAATTCTCTAGAAAAAGACAAAATGATTCAGAGAAGAGAAGTCAGTGCATTTTTTCAAATTATCTTCTTCATATCTTCCACATGGTTCCCAATCACCCTAAATGCAAATGGAAGAGAAGATACACAAATCACTCCCTCCAAAAAGTAGAAAAAATAGTTTAAGAATATAAGGTGACACACATTATGTTATATGCATAATAACTCATCTCTCAAGGTAACATACAATAAGTTCCCAGTTATCCGCAAGGATGATACCCAGTTCAGCATAAATGTCTCACAATTTATGGTGTGAAAGCATTAATTGGGTTTTTTAATCAATAAATAAAAAATTAAAAAAATAAAAAATAAAAAATAAAATGACAAATGATAGGGAAGCTGATATACTGATATCTTAAATCAGATCATGACATTATTTATTAATCTTTTCACAGAAAGGCACCATAGAAACCCAAAATAAATGGATGAGAAAAATTCCACCAAAGTGAAAGAGTTCATACTTCTGGGGTTCACAGCAGACTTACGGTTACAGAGAGTGCTCTTTTTCATCTTCCTTGTCATTTATGTCATCAGTCTCTTAGGGAACATCACGCTGGTTTCTTTGATCTGTACTGATTCTCGGCTCCACACACCCATGTATTTCTTCATTGGAAACCTGTCATTCCTGGATCTCTGGTATTCTTCTGTCTATGCCCCCAAACTCCTGATGACCTGCATCTCTGATGACAAAAGTATTTCCTTTGCTGGCTGCCTAGCTCAATTCTTCTTCTCAGCTGGTCTGGCCTATAGTGAATGTTACCTGTTGGCTGCCATGGCTTATGATCGCTACGTGGCCATCTCTAATCCCTTGCTTTATTCTCAGGCTATGTCTGCAAGGTTATGTGCCAGCCTTGTTGCAACTTCATACAGTGGTGGCTTTCTTAATTCAACCATCATCACTACTGAGACATTTACCCTGAGCTTCAGTGGCAAGAACATCATTGATGATTTCTTCTGTGATCTTCCCCCCCTTGTAAAGTTGGCCTGTGATGTGAAGGAGAGCTACAAGGCTGTGCTTTACTTCATACTTGCCTCCAATGTCATCATGCCTGCCATGCTTATTCTTGCCTCCTACTTCTTCATTATTGCTGCCATCTTGAAGATCTGCTCCACCCAAGGCCACCTCAAGGCCTTCTCCACTTGTGGCTCTCACTTGACAGCTGTCACCTTGTACTATGGTTCAATTCTCTTCATTTACTCCCGACCAAGTACTAGCTATGCACTGGAAAGGGATAAAGTTGTGTCAGTGTTCTATACGGTGGTGATTCCAATGTTGAATCCTTTGATCTATAGCTTAAGAAACAAAGATGTTAAAAATGCCCTGAGGAAAATGTTAGATAGAGCAAAGTTTTATTAAATGAAAATGTTTGGTGAACAATGGCTATATTTTATTTCACAGATTATCTCCCTGTCATGGTTATCAGACTGTCCTCTCAGAAATACATAAAATAAGAAAACAAAACATCTTTGGATAATGTTAAAACACTAGTCTGTATTTTTTTTTTTAAGTTGGCACAAATGTATTTGAATGTGTTTTTAAAGTAAATGAGGCTGGGGCATTTGGAAAAACTGCTATGCCTGCTAGCTTGAAATAAAGACTATAAAATTACTGGGATTCTAGAAAGTTGAAAGAGAGGAGCTTATTTTTTATTTTAATTTTCACTTAGTTTATAAGTTGCTTATATGTATAATACTCTAATCTATAAACAGGAATAATAGAATTGGTGATGGAATCATAGCCTCATTTAGATGCATTAAATGACTTCCTTCAAATCTTGTAGTTCATAGGTGAGAAAATAGGAATGCAAATCCAGAACTTCTGACTCCAAAGCTTCTAACCCCATTTGTTGGGAGACAAAGTCAGTTAGGAGGTCATAAGTAAACTTTCTACTGTAAAATTCCCTTGGAAATAAACTTATTGTTTCTTTCTGACTCTCATTTATTAGCTTACCATAATACAAACATTTCCCTGGCAATAGATAGAGGAGCGAACAAATATCTTTACCAGAGTCACTGTGAGCTTTTCAATAAAAGGATATTTTCTCAAAAAATTAAAGAATTAAGGGCAAAAGTATAGCAGCTGTATGAAATAGACAGAAGTGGAGATGTAGATAGAAATAGACAGATAAGTAGACAAATAGAGAATTTTCAAAAAGCTTTAGATCCAGGAAAAGATTCAGAGTAAAAATGTCCACTAGGTGAAACAATGATTGATAACAATTAGGGTTCTATGAATATTTATATTTCTTTGGTTGTTCAGTGTTGTGTATGAATTAATAAAAAATTGGAGAATATTTCATTATGATGCATCACATTTCCTAATTTTAGTAGTCTTTCTAAATGTAAAACATGGGATTGCATGTTACAAAGGCCTAGTGTTCATAAGCAAGTATATTAGTTTGCTAAGGCTATCATAAAAAAATACCACTGACCGGGTCATGTAAACAACAGAAACCTATTTTATCACATTTCTAGCCACGATTCAAGCGCCATAATGGTTGCTTTCTTCTGAGGCATCTTTCCTTGTTTTGCAGATGGCCACCCTTTTGCTGTGTCATGAAATGGTCTTTTCTCTGTGCACACCCATCCCTGGTGTCTCTTTGGTTGTCCAAATTTCCATTTCCTCTTTTTATAAAGACACTAGTCAGGTTGGTTTAGCACTCGCCCTAACCACCTCATTTTAACTTAATCACGTCTGTAAAGGCCTATCTCCAAATACATTCACATTCTGAGTTACTGGGTATTAGGGCTTCAACATATGAACTTTGGGGGCATATAATTCAACCTATAACATCAGGGATTGACAGGAGTTTCTTGATGAATGAGATAAGGGAGGGCAGCTTAGAAGAGAGAGAAGAGCATATGACAAGGAAAAAAAATATGGACTGTATGATATGTTCTAGAAATGTCTAATTAGTACAATTTTGAGAGTTTCTATCATCAGACACATTTAATGATTCTATCGTAACTTAAATCCCTTAAGAGAGTGTACTCAACAAAATATTCCTAATTTCATCTTATCTTAATTAATATATGTTCTCCATACTCCAAATGAACTTTAATTGAGTCTCTGGAGACTAAGGTACATATTTCTGGGATGCTCTGTGGAAGGAGTCCCAAAGGGCTGTTGAGGAAATACACATATTGGGTCCAACAGACACACCAAAACATCAGAGGAGAGGAGAAAGTGTGTCGCTTCCAGGACTGTCTTTCCTGACCAAGGGTAAGCAACTGGGATCAGGAACAGCTAAGTGGTTTGGCCTCTCTGTGACCTCAACTGTGATTAGAAGGAGGATACAGAGTCTGGCCTGGCTCTCAAAGGACTGTTATTATGCCAAACACACACACACACACACACACACACACACACACACACACTAACCTAAATAGGATTCCAACCACTGATATATGTAACCCTCATGTAGAAATCAAAATTCACCGTGGTAGTTGTGCTGGGTCATCATATATCCACTGACACAGTGGAGAAATCAAGAAGACACAAAAAGTGACATGTTTTGCACTCTAGTTGTTATGGTCCTCTGTGCTGTCCTAACTACTAATATATGGTGTTTTCATTTCTTTGTACTCATTTTCAGGTATTAGAGGGACATATTCTTCCACGGAATTTTAAGTGCTCCAGTGAAATAAGCAGGGGACAGAGCTTCTACGGGGAACATACAACTTGAGAAGACGTTCTGTATGGAATACTTAACATGATTGGCTCTGACATTTTCTGTGTCTTTTATTTCACATTCACATTTTAATTGCAATTTATTTCAAATTCAGAATGGATTTTAGTCCAATTTGATAGTTATGAGTTTGATAGTTACGAGTTCTCTGTTTATTTACACTTCCTTCTTATTAGTAATAACTACACTGATCCAGGAAAGTCCATGTGAGGCTAAATTAGTCCTGAATAGTTTGAGCTAGGTTAGCAGTAGACAATATTTTGGGAAAAACAGGTTCAGGATGTAAAAGTAATTACCCATTTATTCATTCTAGAAATATTTATTTAGTGCCAATTAGTCACTAGAAACTGTTCTGTATGCTGGGATACACCGTAAACAAAACAAAAAATCTTTTTGCTCCATGGTTAATGCATTCTGGTGGGGAAAAATGGAAAATAAACTTAATAAAGAGGAGTTAGATGATGACAATAGGTCTAGGAGAAAATAGAGCAGAGTCTGAGCAGAAAAAGAAGGATAGGGACTGTTGGTGGGAAGAGGGCATTGAATTTAAAATAGTGATGAGAATAGGTCTTAGTAAGAAAATGACATTTAAATAGGACTTAAAGAAAATAAGAACGTGATGCTTGCAAATATCTGGGGATAGTTTTTAAACCAGAGGAACACTCAGTTCAGAAATCTTTGATGGTGGGTCAGGGCTGGTATTTTTGAAAAACAGTGAGAAATTCAGAAAAGCTGGAGAAGAATGAAGCAAGAGGTGAGGCCATTGAATGGGATTTGGCTTTAACTTAGAACAAACTTCAAGGATTTTAGGGTGGTTTTAAGAACAGGCTTAAAGTGACTTGCTTTATTATTATTTTTTTGTAAAGGTCCATACTGATTGAAATATTGAAAATAGGCTATAGAGGCACAAGCGTGTAGACCAATTAGAAGACTATCACAATATTCTTGGCAAAACATGATGATGTTTTGGACCAGAGTGGTAGCGGTGGAGGTGGTGAGAAGTGCTCAGATTCAGGATAGGTTTTGTAGGTAGGGATGCCAGGATTTCTTGGAAGATTGACGAGGAGGTAGAAGAGAAAGTAGTAGGCTGTTTTCTAATTCATATCTCGAGAAAATGGGAGAGTAGATTTATTACCTGATATTAGAAATGAGCAGATTGACAATTTTGGAGAGTGAATATTAGAAATTCAGCCTAAACATGCAAACTTTGAAATATTTATGACTCATCTCTTATAATTATATAACGTTAGCACTGAAAAGAAACTTAGGCGTCTTTTAGTGGTAGAATTTTTAATTAAGAATCATAGTGACAAAATCAGTGGATAGATTTCTGGGGATTTGTGAGCCCTCTATAACTGTGTGTGCTTATACATATGTACAGTTTGGAGACTGGAGAAAAGAATCATTGCTTCTATCACATTCTTTAAGAAGTCCATGATTCCAAAAATTTAAGATCATTAAATTTTTAGATAAGGAAACAAAGGAACGCAGTAGTTAGAGAATATACACAAGTTCACATGATTGATTTTTAGGGAAACAAGAATGAATATGCAAATCTTAAAGTGAAAAGAAGAATGCTTTTGTCTTTGGTACATTCCATCTCTCACTTCAACCAAGATGATGATAATGCCCCCTGTATCCAAAAACATATGTATGTATAAGGATTGTTAATCTATTCTAACACACTGTATTGTTGTAGATGAGGTTTCTATTGTTATTTTTATGATGAATTCTTTAAGAAATATTAACAACTTGGTATCCTAGAAGGTGGGTACTGGAAAAGGATCAACCAGTTATTCATGTGGGTGGAATTATGTTCCAGAGAGGACATGCGATGCTCTTTATGCACACTGGTGATTAGCCTCAGGTTCGATCCCTATCACAAAACTCCACAGTCCAAGGCCAATGAACTGTGCACTTCCAAGCCTGCCATCCCTTTGTCAAATTGCATGTGAGTAGGTGACAAAAATATTAACCTTCAGCATTTTAGAAAGCTTCTGAAGGACACCACCCTTCAAGATTTAATTATTTCCATGTAGAAAAGTGGCTTTTTGTTCCCCTCAAGCTCAGATTTTATAAATAAGTCAGGTATTATTTAACCTTATGATAATAAAAATAGCTACAGTCAGTTATGTATATTTTCTGGCCACACATTGTGTTATGCATTTGATCCACATAGCACAGACATTTTTCTTACCTTTTATAAAGTAAAGAAGTGTGGGTTGGAGGTTGTTAAAGACTTTCCCAAGATTGCAGAGCTACCATTGGGTGGAATCAGGATTTGAACTCAGGTGCCGTTTCAATTGTGCAGTTATACAAGTCTGCCTATGTCAGACCCATCTGCTCTCAGCTGGCTTGGTCAAATGTCTGTGTTTAGCTGTTAGCTCGGTCGGGGGCTGGATGATGAAGAATGCACTAACAAGTCTAGGGGCCAGCTTGCTGTCAGCTGGGGTCACAAAGAGAATGCAGTCAGATGTCTCACTATTCAGCAAGCTAATCGTGGCTTATTTACATTGTGGTGGCAGGATTCTAAAAGTGAGAAGAAAAGTGAACCAAGCCTTTTGAGGCCCAGGCTTTGACATCTGCATAGCACTGCCTATGCTGTGAACTATTGGCCAAAACAAATGACAAGGCCATGACAGACTCCAAGGTAAAATAACAAAAGCTACTCTTGAAATCAAGAAATCAGTAAAGAATTTTAGTCTTTTTTTTTTTTTGATGCCTTAATAGTTTATAACATTGTGAAATTTTGGTTGTACATTATTGTTTGTCAGTCACCATATAAATGCCTCCCTTCACCCCTTGTGCCTACCCCCCAATCCCCCTTACCCTGGTAATCACCATACAGTTCTCTCTGTCCCTGTGTTGGTTTATATTCCACATATGAGTGAAATCATGTGTGTTTGTCTGTCTGGTTTATTTCGCTTAACATAATACCCTCCAGGTCCGTCCATGTTATTGCAAATTGGACAATTTTCTCTTTTTTATGGCTTAGTATTCGATTATATATATATATACCACATCTTCTTTATCCAATCATTGGTCAAGAGGCACTTAAGTTGCTTCCACTTCTTGGCTATAGTGAATAATGCTGCAATGAACATAGGGGTGCATAAGCCTCTTTGGATTGTTGATTTCAGGTTCGTTGGATAGATTCCCAGTAGTGGGATAGCTGGATCATAGGGTATTTCTATTTTTAATTTTTTGAGGAATCTCCATACTGTTTTCCATAGAGGCTGTACCAGTTTGCATTCCCACCAGCTGTGTATGAGGGTTCCTGTTTCTCCACATCCTCTTCAACATTTGTTGTTTTTTGTCTTGGTGATTATAGCCATTGTAACGGGTGTAAGGTGATATCTTAGTGTGGTTTTGATTTGCATTTCCCTAATGATTAGTGATGTTGAACATCTTTTCATATGCCTATTGGCCATCAATATATCTTCTTTGGAAAAGTATCTGTTCATATCCCCTGCCCATTTTTTGATTGGGTTGTTTGTTTTTTGTTGTTCAGTTGTGTGAGTTCTCTATATATTATGGAGATTAACCCCTTGTCAGATATATGATTTGCAAATACCTTCTCCCAGCTGGTGGGTTGTCTATTCATTTTGATCCTGGTTTCATTTGCCTTGTAGAAGCTCTTTAATCTGATGAAGTCCCACTGGTTTATTTTTTCTTTAGTTTCCCTTGTCTGAGTAGACACGGTATTCGAAAAGATTCCTTTATGACCAATGTCAAATAGTCTACTGCCTATACTTTCTTCTAGGAGTCAGTTTCAGGTCTCATCTTCAGGTCTTTGATCCATTTTGAGTTAATTTTTGCGAACGGAGAAAGCAGATGGTCTACTTTCATTCTTTTGCATGTGGCTGTCCAGTTTTCCCAGCACGATTTATTGAAGAGACTTTCCTTTCTCCATTGTATGTTCTTAGCTCCTTTGTCGAAGATTAGCTGTCCGTAGATGTGTGGTTTTATTTCTGGGCTTTCAATTCTGTTCCATTGATCTGTGTGTCTGTTTTTGTACCAATACCATTCTGTTTTGATTACTATTGCTTTGTAGTATGTTCTCACAAATTCATCACTTTATATATTGTATGAAATATAATTGTATGAAATATTTAAAAGAGAAAGAATTAAATTAACCACAAACTAATAATCTATGTGATATATTGCAAAATTAAAAAAAAAAACTACAAGAATTGGTTTGTGGTTAATTTAATTCTTTCTCTTTAAGTATTTCATACAGTTATATTTCATACAAAATATGATGAATTTGTGATACAGTTATATTTCACTCAGAAGTCAGAACGATGACTATATCATTCTTTTAACTGAATGTTCTAAATCTTTCATCAATTGATTTATCTACTCCTTCCAAGACTTTGTAGTTTCTTGTGTAAAAATAGAGAGGGGATGCTTTCATTACCAACCAGTACTTTGAAAGGATCTTGTCTTTAAGAATTTTCCAGTATTTTCAGGTTAAATTACTATATAAATACACTTTTCTGACCAGAAGAGGTTGAGACACTCAGTCTTAGAGTCTTATCTATCAGGATAAGGTCAAAGTTTATACAATCCCTAATAATTCTATCTAGAAGTTTGAATGCCTCTTTCCTGCCTTTACCAGAGGACTGATCTCAAGAGTTAATAGAAGATTGAAGATTTCAGAGGGATTCCTGTTAAGAGGCAATTTTCCTCCCTTTCAATCCATTCTCTGATCTGCAGCCAAAGTAAACTTTAAAAATATAAATCTGACCATGCTGCTTCCTCATGATAGCAATGACTTTCATTTCTGTTGGATTAAAGGCCGAAATCTTTAACATGGCTTTCAGTAAGCTTTGTGAGCTACTCTCTCGTAGCTCATTCCTCTTTCCCCTCTCCATCCCAATGTTTTTTTAACCTCTTTTAGCTCCTTGAATTCAGCAGACTCTCTCAAGGGAGGGGTCTGTTATAAGTGCTTTCTTCTCATGGAACTGCTCTCCCCTGTCTCTTTACTCTGACTATGGGCTGCCATTGGCTCATTCTTCAGGTCTTATTTATCTATCTCTTCTCCTGAGAAGACTTTGAGCTTAGACCAGAATTTTGTTTTTTTATTACCTTTTTACCTCTTTAGAGGTTAGCAGTAGAGGAGTAGTAATTGGCTCTGTGCTGATATTTCATTTTTCCCCCAAATTATATTGTATTAAAAATGAACTTAGTAAGTACCAGATAGTTTTCCTTGTACAGACAAGTGATAACAAAGCAGAGAAAGTTCATAGTAACTACTGAGATGGTGGCTATAACTCATCAATACATACATTATCAGTATAATATCCATACGTTCCTGCCAAGATAATACTACTCAAGCTTCAGCATATTCAGAAAAAAGTTGTATTGTACAAATGAATAACAGCATAACACTATAACCATGAAACTCCCAAGATATGTGAGAATATTATGGGGAAATCTATGTGAGTAATATAGTTTGGTTGAAGTACTAAATCAATGAGGACAAGTGGTGAGAGAAGTTTATAAAGGTAAACTAGAGCCAGTTTATAGAACCTTGTGTGTATGCCTAAAGTATCAGTGCTTTGTGTGCTAGTGAGAAAAGATCCAATATATACTAATAAATAAACGGAATGGTCTTCAGGACTCCAAGCTGCTTTTCCCATAGTGTCATCAATGAAGTCACATCCTCTCTGAACATCATCACTTACATTTGAAAGATTAAGATACCTCACTAACAAGTGGGAACAGTAGACCCTGAGGTAGAAAACTTGGATTTGCATTCTAGTTACAACATAGACTCTGGCTTAGTTCAAAGGTAAATGTTTTAAACATTGAAGTAAATCACAGTCCTCTTAGTTTTAGCTTTCTCCCACGGCCTTTGTACCTAGGGGGATGGTCAGCCGACTACTGGGGCATCAACTCTAGTTCTGTAATGTTTTATGTTAGATACCTCCTTTTAGCTTCTCTCTGAGAGCTTTGGAACTTCAACTTTAAAGGATTCATGGTGTCTCAATATATCCTTGACACTAAAATTTTGATCTTCCTAATGTTCAGCATCCACTATGTGAATAAAGGCCTCAACTCTGTATATAAACCTCACATCAACTAGAGAAGAGTGCAAAAACAATAGTGTTTAAGAAAAGAATTTTTTAAAGCTGTTTTCAATAGGTAATGAAATTCAGATTGTCAGAGGATGATAGGATTGCCTTAGCCAGGAGAACAAGAGAGAAAATAATTCACCTATAAAAGACACAAATGACTTAACAGTTGAGAGCACATGTCCTTGATAAAGATAATCCTGGGTTGAAATACCAGCTCTGCTGTAGACTAATTCTGTGATGTTGAAAATGTTTCCTAAACTTCATGAGCATCATAATAGAAGTTACCTTGTAAAGTTGTGGAGAGGATTAAGTGTGTTAAGTATAGGACTCAGGATACCATCTGTATGTAGTAGTAATATATATATATATTTTTCTATTTGTACTAATAGTAGCAGTAGCAGGGCACTATATTATTTTTTGTATAACTACCAGCACAATGCCTGACATAAATTATCAATAATACATGAAGGATACTCAAATTTTTTGAGTGCTCACTACATACCGAACATTGGGCTGGGTGTTTTGATGAATTTACTTTATTAGACAACCTGTCAAGGGGCTTCATTTTTCTCATGTGTTTGGTGAGACTAAGGGACTTGACTTGCATTAAACAATTAGTAAGTAAAAGTCCTAATTCCAAAATGAGATTGTACTCCAATTCCAGTGGTTCCCAAGTCTCAGACTGAAATTATATCATTCTAGATAGTAATGGATAAAAGTCCATAAGCCTCTAGTAATTGTTGACTTCATTGATACCTTTGTTTATTTCTTTCAATATAAAAATACTAAATGACTTTTTTTCTCATAATCTTTATCAGACTTTCTCCTCTGTTGGTATGGAAGTTGGAAATCGCACCACCCTGACTGAATTCATCTTGGTGGGCTTTTCAGCAAACCCCCGGTGGCAGCTGATTCTATTTGGAATATTTCTGATGTTCTACTTGATAACCTTGTCAGGGAACATGACCTTGGTTGTCTTAATCCGTATCGATTCCCACCTGCACACACCTATGTATTTTTTCATTGGCAATCTGTCGTTTTTGGATTTCTGGTACACCTCTGTGTATACTCCCAAAATCCTGGCCATTTGTGTCTCAGAAGATAAGCGCATTTCCTTGGCTGGATGTGGAGCCCAGTTGTTCTTTTCCTGTGTTGTCGCCTACACCGAGTGTTGTCTCCTAGCAGTCATGGCCTATGACCGCCATGTGGCCATCTGTAACCCATTACTTTATTCAAGTACTATGTCCAATTCTCTCTGTACTGGACTCGTTGCTGGCTCCTACATAGGAGGGTTCTTGAATGCCATAGCCCATACTGCCAACACTTTCCGCCTGAGTTTCTGTGGTAAAAATATCATTGAACACTTCTTCTGTGATGCACCACCATTGGTAAAAATGTCTTGTACAGACACCCAGGTCTATGAAAAAATCCTCCGGGGTCTGGTGGGCTTCACGGTCCTCTCCAACATTCTTGCCATCCTGATTTCTTATTTCAACATCTTTCTGGCTATCCTGAGGATCCAAACAGCCTCAGGAAGGTACAAGGCCTTCTCTACCTGTGCTTCTCACCTCATCTCAGTCATGCTTTTCTACGGATCATTGCTCTTCATGTATTCAAGGCCAAGTTCCACCTACTCCCTTGAGAAAGACAAAGTGGCTGCTCTGTTCTACACTGTGGTCAACCCATTGCTCAACCCTCTCATCTATAGCCTGAGAAACAAAGATGTCAAAGAGGCCTTCTGGAAAGCAATGCAGACCATAAGGTTGGAGAGATAAAGGTCATCTTTTTGCAGAATGCTCTAAAAGTATTTTCTGAAGTTTGGTTATACACTTATTTGAAAACATTACAATGTTTCAAGAAAATTCAACAAACTATACTTAAAACAATGAAACATTAAACAAACCACTCTTAATTGTTTATTTTTTGTTGTAATTACAATATTTTAAACCTGTAATATTGGGTTGTAGGATGTCCCACAATATTGATACTTTGCAGTAGTAGATTTTTTAAAATTTATCCTCTTGATGATCTTTGGGGGATTTGGAAAGAGAAAAGAAGAATTGGATGGTTTTTGTGGGTATAGTTTGACTTTGAAGTTTGACAAGCAAACTTTATTGTGTGGTGGAAAACCTCTGGAATGGTTAAAGTGGTGGAAATTTGGTCAAGATTTTCCAAATATTTATTTCTTCATAAAGCACTCCCTCCAAATTCCTTCATAATGCTCTAATTGAGTACATAGAAAATATCTTCGTAAACTTTTCTGCATTCTATTTCAATTTAATGTTAGAAAAATATTTGAGTTGTCTAGATTACCAAATAAATAAATAAATAAAAAACAAAAAGCCAAACAACCAAAACACTTTTCTGAATCCATGGCGAAAGATATGTCTTCACGATTGTATATCACTATAAAATAGTGATCTCTTCCACAGAGAATGAGTACTCTGCCATCCTGTCTTTCATTCCATACCACTCCATATTCCCTATGAAACAAAGTAGCATCAAGGGGATCAAATTGGAACAAACAGATCAACGAGCAAAACCCACTATATTCTAGACTCAGCGCTTGTTGTTTTTTTTTTTCCCCACCAGAAAATTTCAATTACGAAGAAACTTACAGCTAATATTCAGTATGTGGCAGGTTTAGTTGATATTTTTTTCAATACTCTTTATAACAACACTGCAAATTAAGGATTATTTGCTACACTTGACAGATGATTAGTTTGAGCCTAAGAAGTTAGAATTTTGTTATTGAAAGACTATAGCTATGTTTGTAATTATCACATTTATAAAATGCATGAATTTAAATTTTAGAGCAAATAGTTGTAGTCACTTTACCATTTGTATTAGCTCTGACATTTGTGATCTTTCTTTTCATCTACGTGTATTATCTAACACATCACTGCCCTCTCTTTTTTAATCACAAAATTCTTAACATTCCTTATTCTTCCATTACTACAGAAGGAAATTTGTTCCTCTTTTTAAAGTTAATTCAGCTATCCTAGATCTTTTGTGTTTCATTACACATTTTAGTTTCAGCTTTTCAATTCCTACAAAAAAATAATACCTGCTTGGATTTTTATTGAGGTTGCATTGAATTTATAGTACATTTGAGGAAGTCTGATATTTTAACATTATTGAATATTCCAGCAAATGAACATGGTATATCCTTCATTTATTTAAGTCTTCTTTAATGTCTTTCAAAATTGTTTCCTAATTTTTAGTGTACAGGCTTTTCATATACTTTTTCATATTTATTTTTAAGTATTTTATCATTTTGATGCATTTGTAACAGGCATTTTAAAATTCCATTTCTAATTTTTTATTGGCAGTGTATATAAATACAAAATATTTTGTATACTGATCTTTCTTTTGAAACCATGCTAAATTCACTTTTTAGTTTAATCAATTTTTTCTACAGATTCCATTAAATTTCCACCTTCACAATCTTGTTATCTACTAATAAACAGTTTTACTTACTCTTTTCCAAACTGGATACTTTCTATTACTTTTTTTTTTCCTTGTCATATTATGTTGGATACAACCTCCAGTACAATGTTGAATAGAATTAGAAAGAAGATTCTACTTGTCTTGTTCCTAATATTAGTGGCGATGTATTTGATTTTTCACTATGGTATACGATGGCAGTTGTAGGTTTTTCATTGGTGCCCTTTACCAGTTTTAGGAAGTCCCATTTAATAATAGTCTACTCAAAATTTTTATTCCTACTGGATATTGAAAGCTTAAAATATTTTGCTGCATTTATTGAGATGTCAGAAAATTTTTCCCTTTTAGTTTCTTAATATGATGATTTTATTATGAATATTAAACCGACTGTACATTTCTGGGGAAAGCCTAACACAGTGCATTATCATTTTTACGTATTGCTAGATTCAATTGACTAAAATTTTTGTTAAAATTGTTGCTTAAATGGTCATGACTGATATTGCTCTTTGTTTTCTTTTCTTACATGACTTTTTCTGCTTTGGATATCAGGGGAAAGCTCTCCTCATAAAGAAAGTGGGGATATACACTTCTCTCTTAGTTTTCTAGCAGCAAAAGCATAGAATTGGTTACTTCATTTTCCCTGAATATTTAGTAGACTTCTCCACTCAAGACACCTGGACTGATGTTGAATTAGTGAGGGTTATTTCTCATAAATTTTTCCGTATTGAGATCCTTTTCATCCTAGATTTTTTCATACTGTTTCTTAGAGTCCACATACATGAAAATATACAGTACACCCATTCTTATGATTCTAACCTAAAACACAGATTGTTTTTTTAATAGACATCCTTAATGTCTCTAAGTTTTCTGTATTTTTCTTATCCTAAGTTTTATTAATCTTTCTAAATCATTTTTTCATAATATATTAAATACTGATATTCTTCATAATATCATATGAAAACTTTCAGTTATTGCTAATTCCTGAATTTTTATATTTTATGGAAAAATATAAAACTTTCTGAAATAACTTATATGTGTACTTAATAATGAGATAAAGACTAACTTTTAAAATGCATAAATATATTATCAATATTTGTAAGTCTCAATATACTTTGCTCTCTTTCTGGTTTATAATTTGAGAGACTATAGAAGGCACACTAGGAACTTTTTATTTTTTTTGAGGAAGATTAGCCCTGAACTAACATCTGTTGCCAATCCTCCTCTTTTTTGCTGAGGAAGATTGGCCCTGGGCTAACATCCATGCTCATCTTCCTCTACTTTATATGGGACACCACCGCAGCATGGCTTGATAAGCAGTGCATAGGTCTGCCCCCGGATCCCAACCCTTGAACTCCGGGACGCCAAAGAGGAGTGCACGAACTTAACCGCTACACCACCAGGCTGACCCCAACACACCAAGAATTTTTTATAAGGGAGATATAGGATTATGTTTAGTCACAGTTTATTTTTTTAAATCCAGATATTAGAGACTTTTACCTTTTTCTATTACAAAAGTCATAATTATTCACTAAAGATAATTTGGGAAAACATATAACCTAAAATTATTAATTTAATCATTTTTATAATCTTAGCAGCCATGAATAACTGATGTTAATATTTCACTGTATGTCTGTCCAATATACATTTTCTAGAAAGCAAAAATATTTTCTTATATTTATATTTTCAAAGTTCATACATATATTCAGTATAAATTTTTTCTCAATAATTAAAAAAATCAACTGTATAAACTTTTTAGTAATGTTTATCCTCACATGAAAATATACATATGCTTTTTAATTCCAATGAATTATTTTATTCAAATTTGTTTGACTATATAGAAAATTTTACTCTACAGTGGAGGACAAAGTAAAACAGTTCAGTCTCTCTATGATGAAAATAATGTTCCATGAATGTTAAAAACACTAAAAATAAATCAAAATGTGGAAATTAAGAAGGCTTAAGAGGAAGTTTGTCCAGAAGACATGACACATATATAAATTGCTACATATCTTACTACACTTTCACTAGAAATATAGTATAGATCAAATCATGTGACTATCTCCTTTTGCTTTCTACAAGAGTGATTATCAAATCAATGCAGTCAAACAATAGATTCTACTAAAAAGATATTACACTCATATGAACCAATATTGAGGAATGTCACCCAAGAAAGAGGCAACAAACTGAACTCAACATAGAGTTGACCTCTTATGCAAACATACACAAACAATTAGAACATGAGTTTTAAATAAGTAGTATTCTTGATTTTCAGAAAGATAAAGAAGCATAACTATTCCATTAGACAAAAACGAGCTGGTTAGAATCAAGATCTAAATAAAATATAAAATAAAAAATTGGAAGCTTCCATGGGAGATTTCAAGATATTTATCTTTTTTCTCCAGCTTCATCGAGATATAATTGACATGTAACATTGTGTAAGGTTCAAGTGTGCAGTGTGTTGATTTGATACACTTATATACTGTAATATGATTACAACTTAGCATTATCTAACATCCCCATCCCTTCACATATTTACCATTTTTTTTTTGTTGTGAGAACATTTAAGATTTTCTCTCTTAGTAACTTCCAAGTATACACTACAGCATTGTTAACTATAATCAAGGAAATTTATCTTAATTGGTATATCCACTGGTATAGAGAAATGGACTAATTGAGAAAAATAAAATGTTGTGCTGATCTTGTGAGTTACTGAATTACTAAGCATGTTGAGTTAATAGACTTTCATGGGCTCATATATGAAAGCAACTGCACTGATGAGAAAAGAACAGGACCCTAAGATCACCCACATCGTATGGGAGCATTTGGGCAAATTCATATGACTGACGACATCAAATCATAGCACTACACCGATCCTCCTTTAAACCACAACAAGTTTGATTTTTACATATGCCATAGAAGAGTCTCAAGGCTAAAACAGAAGGATGTGCTTACACAAAAACACATGCACAAACACATGTAGACACTGGAAAGTTCATTCTAATAGCTGAGAATAACACGAGAATCATTTGATCTCCTCTTTGTACCTACTCTTCTTCCTCACTCCCATACAGCACACCCACTCTCCTTACCTGCTCTTATGGTCTACAGTACCCTAATCCATTCTAATGCAGTATAAACTTTACATAGTTATTATATTATTAATTCATCTGTCCTCCTCAAGGAAGGAAAATACTTTTCTTATTTTGTGTACTAATGTATTTATAGCATGTAGAAGTGTGTCTGGCACTTAGAAAGCAATCTATAAATGTATGTTGTATTCACCTGTGCTCACTACTCCTTCTAAAGGCCCACAGAGAAAACTCACATAACCCAAATTATGGAAATCATATTGCACATAAACTTTAAGAAAAAAGATTGCATAGTTTTTTCCACATTCGTTGTACTGCGTATTTTACATCTTTGTTCCTCAAGCTATAGATCAAGGGATTCAACATGGGGATAACCAGCGTGTAAAATATAGAAGCCATTTTATCAGTGTCAAAGGAATGATTGGACTTCGGCTGCACATGCATAAATATCAAAGTCACATAGAACACGGTGGCCACTGTCAGATGGGATCCACAGGTAGAAACAGTCTTGTACCTACCTTCAGCAGAGTTCATCCTGAGAATGGCTATAAGGATGAGCAGGTAAGACACAAGAAGTATTGGAAGGCAAAAAGTCAAATTGAAACCTGCTAAGATCAGAATAATCAATTCAATATCACGCGTATTTGAGCAGAGCAAAGATAACAAAGGGAGACTGTCACAGTAGAAATGTCTAATGATATTGTAGCTGCAAAAGGATACATTAAAAATCTTTATAGTGACTAGAAAAGAAACAAATGTGCTGTAGAGATAGGGGATTGCCACCAGCACGTGACATAGCCTTGGTGACATAATGACTGTGTAGAGGAGAGGGTTACAGACAGCCACATAGCGGTCACAGGACATTGTTGACAGAATGAAAACTTCACTAATAATGAACACAAGAAAGAAAGCTAGTTGGGTAGCATAAAAATAATAGGAGATTGTATTTTTATCCACAACAAAATTTGCTAAGATTTTGGGTCCCACGGTTGTTGAATAACCAAGATCAGTAAAAGCCAGGTGTCTGAGGAAGAAGTACATGGGTGTTTGTAGCTGGAGTCCATCTTGGTGAGGATGACCATGCCCAAGTTGCCCACCAGTGAGATCAGGTAGATGATAAAGAAGAGTCCAAATAATGGAGCCTGCAGCTCAGGGCAGTCTGTGATTCCCATGAGAATGAACTCATTCAGCACTGTTAGACTGTGGTTTTCCAGCTGGGTTTATTAGAAAATCTATTCTGAATAGATGCATTATCATAGTCAATAGATTTTATATATTATCTCCTGGGAGACATATTAGTATACAAAGGTAGTAAAAATAAGATACATCCAAACTTTCCAATTCAGTATATTTGAAAATATACCCATCTCCCACATATTAAAATATATGCAGAGACAGAAAGAGATATGGAAATAGATTGGTGCTTTTCAACTGGAGTGATTTTACTCCCCAAAGAACATTTTCCAATGTCTAAAGACATTTTGGTTGTCACAACTGGGAGTTGAGGTGCTACAGATTTCTAATGGTTAGAGCTCAGTTAAGCTGCAAAATACCGTACTACATCCTATATCTAGCCCATAATAATATTCTGTCAGTAGTATCAATAGTGCCAAGGGTGAGAAATGCTGATTATATAAATATGGATAATTAGATAGGTAAATAGATAGAGACACACAGAAGTGGATAATAAAGGAACAATGAAAACAAGTCAAAACAATGTTAATCCGTTGGCTATTAGATATATGGGTGGTTATTACACTATTATTTAAAGTTTTATGTTTATCATTTATATGATACAATCACATAATGATGTTTATAAAATTCATTAATAATATGATGTAATACATATGCCAGCTATATAATAAAAATTTCCAGCCACAGATTCCAAAAATGCATATAACCCACTACTTAAAACTTAGTCGTAGGGCTGGCCCCTGGCATAGCAGTTAAATGTGCACACTCCGCTGCTGGCGGCGGGGGTTCAGATCCCAGGCGCACACCAATGCACCATTTGTCAGGCCATGCTGTGGTGGCGTCCCATATAAAGTGGAGGAAGATGGGCACGGATGTTAGCTCAGGGCCAGTCTTCCTCAGCAAAAAGAGGAGGATTGGCATGGATGTTAGCTCAGGGCTGATCTTCCTCACAAAAACAAAAACAAAAACAAAAACAAAAGAAACAACTTAGTCGTATGAAAGATCTTACTCCTACAGGTGGTTCTGGTGGAAAAGTTAGCACACTTGACAGATATTTGACAAGAGTATGAATAAGAAAAGCATAGGCGGGAATTATTTTTGGGAATTATGATGAAACATACCAGGAGATATATGTAGGTATATTTTCTGCTGTCCTTTTATGATATATACAGAGGGTTAATTGGGGCAAATAATGTAAGTTATGTAAAATTCTTTATTCTCATATATAAAACTAACATTTCCTTGCGAAGTTGTTGGGAAGTATAAATGAAGATTCAATGATTCAACGGGTCTATGTTATCCGGAAATAATTCTTGAATATCAAGTACATTGTTTTTTATTTTTTTTTTTAATGGTGATAGTAACTTACCTGAAAGACGTTTTCTTTATGTATATATGTACGTTCTCTGGACTGTAATAACTTCTTTGTCACAGCTATTGTGACGAATAGGTGAAGAATTGGTCAAGCAGGACGTAATACTTGCAACTCATCTCAGTCCCTACCCTACCCCTTATTTCTTAAGTTTGAACAACCAAATTGTTATTCTTTTGGATTACTTATCTTCTAATTTTCTTATGTATTTTAATATGATATTTTGATGTAAATTTGCTTAAAATATTACTCTTCCCCTTGTGGCATTTTCATTAAAATCGAGATATACTAACTTGTACGTATCAAATCAATTGCACTTTATCATGCAAGACTTCAGGAGTGTGATGAAATTTGGGCAAATTGGGAGACAAAAGGAGTCAACGGCAGTGGTTTTTCGTAGTGAAGTTTCATAAAAATTCACTTTGGATTACGGGTTATGATAAAGAAAAAAAATTGTTGATAGTCAATAAGACACACAACACCATGGAAACAAAATAAAATTCTACACTAAGGATGAGATATACATGGATTCCTGGATGTGATTTGAAATCTTTCTGCATATTAAGCCTACAGGAACTCCTTCAAACACTAATATAGCACATAATGCAGCTAAACATGTATAATCACGTAAAATGTATCTAAATATCCTAAAAGCCCATATATAAAAAATTATACTGGAGTAGGAGGTGGATGGCATGTTGGTAAGGGAATTATTTTTGCTTTAAAAATTTGTGGACATCAATGATTTTGTTTAAAAAAAGGAATAAAAAATTTACTGTTTACAATAAAATTGCAAGTCAGGACTCTCTAAGTGAGCTATAAGCAGATAAAAACATACCATTTTACAACATTAAATATAAAGATAATAACATGTAATTTGCACTTAACTCACTTAAAATCTTGTCTATAAGTTTGTGACCTCTTGATATCCTACACTGCCCTGATGCACACACCTTTTTTACATTAGGAATATGGAAGTGCTTATTAGCAGATAGTAATGTTAGAGAAATATTCAGTAAATGCAACGAAAAAGCAGTATGTCTTATTTTTTGTTTGTGTTTGTTTGTTTTTGTTTTGTTTTCCTTTACAATCATGGAAGGTAAAAAAATAAATAGCACATGGAAAGCACCAATTTTCCTGTAAGGTAAAGAAAGATAAAAGCATTTCCTTACACCAGTTTTGGAGTTCTATGGAAAGAATAAAGTTGCTTTTTCATAATTTATTATCCAAGAATTGAATATTCAATTTTTTATTTTTTAAAGCTATACTTTTTGAGATAATTATGCTTGAAAGCTATACTTTTTGAGATAATTATGCTTTAAAGCTATACTTTTATGAGATAATTATACTTTCTGTCAGATCCCACTGGAAATGAAGAATGTGCCAAACAAACATTTTACCATTACCATAAAACTGAGTACGTAAGAGTCTCCTTATATCCAAATGTTTTTCACATATCAATATGAGGTGGTAACTCCTGTTTTCCTCATCAAGATATCAGGTTAGAATTATATTTATACATTTATTTAAATAATCATTAAATGTTAAATTATTTTTTAAGGAGCCCAAAATGGGTCTAGAGTCACTAAAGAAGTATTTGGAAAGACAGCAAAAGGAGAGCCTGAATATCTGCAGTTTCTTAATTGTGCCAAATTTTAAAATTTCTTGTCTTTAATTGTGCTTCATTTGCTCTCAGTTTTGACCTCCATTAGAGATAAAATTGTTCACGTAAAACATAAATATTTCATAAACAATACAATGAAGTTTCAAAGATTCATATGAGCATTTAACCTCTCGACCCATGCGAAAACATTAAAAAAACTTAATACGAAGAAAAAAGGAGAGATTTCCTATTCCTATTCAAGCATTATAGTCATTAGAAAGCAAAGACAGCTGAATCGGAAATGGTCACATTTTGCTACGTCTTTGCCGTGGAATTAAAGTGGAACTTTGCAAATGCCACTGAAACATTGTCGATATTGGTATCATATGGCACAACATGAAATAGTCTATGGATGTTACCTCTAATGAAGTCTCTGTCTTGACTCCCACATGTGTTTCTTAACACGGCGTATTGAGAACAATTTATGAATGTTTTTACCATTTGAGACTCTACCTGAGGAGATGCCAAGTAGTTTGTTTATGATCCCTAAAGCATACGAGAGTGTGACAAAATGTCTGGAGGTTGTCTGTTAACTGTCAAGGACAATCTGTATTCACCAGTGAATAAGTTTTAATTAATTAATTAATTAATTTCGCTTTTAGTTAACTTTCCCTTTGTACCAACAGGACTCAAAATGGCGTATATTTAGGGCAGGCTCATCAAGAGTCCCCATTTCCACAGTGGTCTCCTCAAATGAGTGACAAAGTGGAGAAATGTTAAAATTCTGTTCCATTACATTATTTTAAATTTTTAAATGGAATAAAAATTATACATTATGCAAAAGTGATGTGTTGTTTCCTCAATTTTCCCTGTTGTTTTTCCACCCGTCTGAGGCAGAAATTAGTTACTCATTCCTCTAACTTTATCATGAGTTGCCATCATCGACTACTTACAAATTCTCTTGTGATTTTTTTTCCCTTAAATGCACATTGAAGCATTTTATTTATTCCATTCTGTCCAATACCCACTTCAATTTTTCTTTCCCACTTTGAAACATACTCTATTTTGCTTGATATAAGCCTAAATTACCAATTTATTCTTGTAAAAAGGTAATATTGTGTATATATATAACTATGTATATATGTTACCTTTCCATAAACTTCATTGTTGCCTTTAAGTCACTTTACTTATTTACTATTCATCAATGTTATGGCTTTTTTGCTTCTTTCTGCATTATAACTCATGGTATATATTTAACAAATTTCACTTATCTGTCTTGACTGGTAGATATTGTGTTTCCAACTCTCAGCTATTGCCAACATCATTACAATACACAGTCTTAATCAACAACCTCGAGCTTGTCCCCTTAAAAATGATGTCTGTATACATGTAATATTATCTAAATAATATATATATATTATATATATACGTAATCTTGATAAGAGGGAGTATAATGTAATTAATTTTCCTAAATATTTGAGATTGTTTATACCAATATACTCTTCTATTAATACATCCAAGACTTACCCTTGATCTTCCTCTTCATATCTGGTGCATGAATTATGTCCTTCTTGTTAATTGGGCCTTTATAGTATTATATGTATCTTTCGTATGGTTTATTGTCCTGTTTCTTCCTTTTTCTTTCCAAGATGTCCAACAGCTGACATTTCATACGAGTATTACTGGTCTGTTTTTACAGTCACTTTGCCTTTGTTTCTGGACATTGTTTAAGCTGCATATACACAAAGTGTAGAATTTGGTAAGTTTTTACATACATGTATACCCATGAAGCCATCAAAATCATCAAGATAATGAATATATTCATCACTCCCAAAATTTCTTAATGTTCACACATATTAACTCCATTCTACCATCCCCGCCGCTTACCTGACCAAGACAACTTTAATTTGTTATTTTCAAAAGATTTTGCATTCAAATAGTTATAGATTTACAGGAGGTTGTAAAAAAAAAGATGCAAAAATGTCCTGTATCATCTTCACCCAGTTTCCTGCAATGATAACATCCTGTATAACTATAGTATGATTTCACAACCAGGAATTGACATTGGTATAATACACATACTCTGTTCAGATTTCATCCGTTTTGCATGTACTCTTTTGTGTGTTTGTGTATATTCACTCTTCTGCATTTTATCTCGTGTTTACATCAACGTCCTTGCAGGACATTTAGTCCTGTCAATAACATCCATAAGACATTTGGTCCATGCCAAAATGTCCTTGACATTTGGTCCTGTCTAAAACATCTGTAAGCATATTTAGTCCATACCATAAAGTTTTTGACAGGACCAAATATCAAGGACCTTTCGGTGTGGACCAAATGCCTCCATGGACATTTTGGACAGGATGAAAAATGACCAGATATCAAGCGCCATTTGATGTGGACCAAATATGCTTATGGACATTTTGGACGGGACCAAATGTCTTCTGAACATTTTGGATGGGACCAAATCAAGGATGCTTCGACATGAATCCAATGCTTTATGGATGTTGTGGACAGGACCAATATCCTGCAAGGTTCTGTATAATCACTCTGAGAGTCATTCAGTTTTTTTGTGTACCAATAATTCATTAATATTTATAGCTGAGTAACATTCGCTTGTTTGGATATCCCGCAATTTGTTTATCCATTCTCGAATGGAAAAACAATCGGATTGTTTCCAGTGTCTTACTATAATAAATAAGGCTTCTTCAGGCCTTTGCATTCACTTATACATAATAAAATGTGCTATCACTTCTCTTGGGTAAATACATGGCAGTGGGATGCCTAATATTATGTTAGATGCACGTTTAATTTTTAAGACAGTTAATCTTAAACCACATGGTTTTTAAATATTTATATCATCATACTTTTCCATCAAGAATGTATGAAAGTTCAAGTTCCTTCACGTATTCACCAACTAGATATTCTAGTTGAAATATAATGTTATTTCATTGAAGCTTAAATTGAAATTCACTAATGAATAATAATGCTAAGCAACTTTTTATGTTATGCATAAATTCCTGATTTTTAAATTTTTATATTCTATAGAAAATGTAATACTTTCTGATATTAATTGTGTACCTACTTAATAATGAAATAGAGACTGTTTTCTTAAATAAATGAAATATATTAACAAAATATGTAAATATCCATACATTTTTTTCTCCTTTTTGGTTTATAATCTGGGGGATAATCAAAGACACTCCAAGATTTTTTTTAGAAGTGGGATATTGGGTTACGTTTATTCATAGTTTTTTTTTTTCAAATCCATGTATCATTACCATTTCACTGTATCTTGGTCCAACACACACGATCTAGGAAACACATATTTTCTTAATATTTACATATGCCTAGCTTAAACTTAGCTGTATATTTTTTTCTTAATAATTAAAAAATAAACTGCAAAAGCATTGGTAATACTTATCCTCACATGACAATATATATATGTTTATTCTTATGAATTATTTTTATTCAAATCTGATTAGCTTCACAGATAATATTACTCCATGGTGGTGGACTCAGAAAACAGTCTAGGCTCTCTATGATGTAAATAAGTCTATTGAATGGTAAAAAATAAGAAATATAAATGAAAAATAAGGGAACTTGCAGAGGGTTATGTAGGAAGTATGTCCAAAAGTTATGACAAGTATATAAATTGATACATATACACTACAGGTTCACAAAGAGTACAGCATCATCCAAGTCATGGGGTCATGTCCTTTTGCCTCCTCCAAGTAGGATTGTCAAATCAACATAGTCCAACAATATACCCTAATCAAAATATAGTACACACTCATTTGAGTCAAATTTCTGGAAAGTCTGACATATGAAGCAAAGGCAACACCCTAATATATCATAGAGTAGACTTCATATGCAAGGATACAAAAACAACTAGAACATAACTTTTAAACAAGAATTATTCTTGTTTTTCAGAGAGATAAGAAAGAGTAACAATCCATTAGACAAAAACAAGCAGCTAGGAATCAAGATCAAGCTGGCAGAAAAATAAAAGTAAAAATCTGGAAATAGAAACGACAGACCACAAGAAACTTAGCTCAATTGAAATATCCATTGTTATAGACAAATGGACTGGTATAGAAAAATTAGGAGCTGTGCCGATCTTCTGGGTTGCTGAAAGGCTAAGTATGTTGAGTTAATAGACTCTGTAGAACTAATACATGAAAGCAATGGCACTAATAAGAAAAGAGCAGCACAAAGATCCCCAGGTGGAATGGAGACATCTGAGGAAATTCAGATGACTGATTACTTCAAATTAATACAATACACTGAGGTTCCTTGAAACTACAATCAAGTACGTTTTAACACAACATGTAGAAGCATACGAAGGCTAAACAGAAAGAATGTGCTTACAGAAAAATACACATACAGACACACAAATATATAGACACTGGAAAGTCTATTCTAGTAGTTGAGAATAACACGAGTCATTTTAAATCCCTTTCTGTTACAGCTCTTCTCTATTTACTCCCACACAGCATACCCACACTCCTTGCCTAGTGTAATATCTATAGTCTCCTAACTGATTATAATGTACTAAAAACTAACCTAATTATTATGTTTATAATTCATCTCTTCTCCTCAGGGAAGGAAAATATATTTATTGTTTATTCACTAACGTACGTAGAGAACTTGGAAGTATGACTGGTACACACAAGTCAGTCTCTAAATACATGTCAAACTCATTTACCCTGGCTTTTCCCTCTGAAGGAACACATAACAGTGTTTAACATTGATAATTTAATTCAAAGGAACCACATAGCACAATGAACCTAAGAAAAGGTATTGCACCATTTTTCCCATGTCCTGTGAAGAGCATATTTAACTTCTGTGTTCCTCAAGCTATAGGTCAAAGGATTTAACATGGGAATAACAAAAGTGTAAAATATGGAAGCCAGTTTATTATTGTCAAATGAATGATGGATTTGGACTGCACATGCATAAATATCAAAGTCCTATAGAAGACTGTGACCACTGTCAGGTGGCATCCACAAGTGGAAAAAATCTTGAGCCTAACGTTAGCAGAGTTCATCCTGAGAATGGATACAATGACGAGCAGGTAAGACACAAATACTATCAGAAGTGATATCAAATTACAACTCACTGATATCAGAATAATCATTTCAATTTCACGTGTGTTTGAACACAGCAAACATAACAAGGGGAGACTGTTACAGTAAAAATGATGGATGACATTGTAGCCACGGAAGGATGAATTTAAAAGCTTAATGGTAAATAAAAGAGAAACAGATGTGCTGTAAAAATATGAAATTGCCACCAGCATCAAATACACCCTTTGGGACACGATGACTGTGGACAGCAGAGGGTTACAGATGGCCACTTAGCGGTTGTAGGACATTGCCAACAAAAAAAAGTTCACTAATAATAAATGCAAGAAAGAAAGCCAGCTATGTGGCAAAAATCAGTAGGAGATTATATTTTGATTCACAACAAAATTTACTAACATTTTGGGTCCCACGGTTGTTGAATATCCAAGATCACCAGAAGCCAAGTGTCTGAGAAAGATGTACATGGGTTTTTGTAGTCCAGAGTCCAACTTGGTGAGGATGACCATGCCCAAGTTGCCCACCACTGAGATCAGGTGGATGATGAGGAAGAGCCCAAATAATGGAGCCTGCAGCTCAGGGTGCTTTGTGATTCCCGTGCGAATGAATTTGTTCAGCATTATTAGATTGTATTTTTCTTTCCAGGTTGATCAGAAAACCTATTCTGGATAGAGACATGAGCATAGTCAGTAGCTTTCATATAGCATAATCTGGCAATTTTTTAGTATACAAAATTGGTATAGATAAAATAAATCTATATTTACCAATTAGACTCTATTAAAATAATCCAGGCCTTGCAAATAAAACATATATATAGTACTATATATACTATGGTTATATATTTATATACTATTATATATTTGTGTATTTTGTATAAAATAAGTTTTGTATTTTATATAAAATATACTTTATATTGATATATAAATATATTTATATATTGATATATTTTATATATATTAGCTTTATTTTGTATTTTTTATATTTTAAATTTTATATTTCATATAATACATTTTATATTTTTATAAAATACACTTTATATTTTATATACAACATATATTTTATATTTTTGTATTTATATATTAAATATATTTATATATTATTGTATATATATTAGTTATATATATTTCTAAACAGAGATAGAGATACAATTAGAGATAGAAATTTCTGGTTTTTCCATTAGGGAAACTTTGTCCCTGTAAAAACATTTGATAATATTTGGAGGCATTTTTGTTGTCACACCTGGAGGAGGGGTGTGACATCTAATGGTTAGAGTCCAATGAGGCTGCTAATTATCCTACTGTATTAGGGTAGCCTTCACAACAAAGATTATACAGGCCAAAATGCCAACAGGGCCAAGGTGGCAAACCCTGATACAAATGTAGACAAAGGAAGCAAAAATGAAAAGTGGTAAAAACCTTAGGCATTAGGTTTATAGGTATTTGTTAAACTTTTCTGTTTGTCTTTACATAATCGTAATTGCATAATTACATTTACCATGTTATAATCACATATGAAAATACATATGTTAATTACATAATGGAATTTTTAAAATCTAAATTCAAATTATGTGTGGAAACATTTGTAAACCCTACTTTAAAACACATTCCTGGCCTGGCCCCGTGGTTTAGCAGTTAAGTGCGTGCACTCCGCTACTGGCGGCCCGGGTTCAGATCCTGTGCACGCCCGAAGCACCGCTTCTCTGGCCATGCTGACGCCGCGTCCCACATACAGCGACTAAAAGGATGTGCAACTATGACATACAACTATCTACTGGGGTTTTGGGGGGAAAAGAAAAGAGGAGGATTGGCAATAGATGTTGGCTCAGAGCTGGTCTTCCTCACGAAAAAAAAACAAAAAATCAAACAAAAAAAAAACATTCCTATGAAAGCCATTATGACTACAGATGGTACATGAACAATTATCACACAAACTGTATTGGGCAGAGGTGTATAAATAAGGAAACTCTAAAAGATCACAGTAGAGATTATTTGTCTGTATATAAGGAAATATACATAGGTAGATATACTCTCTTCAGTATCCATATTTGTGGTAGATACAAAGGAGTACTTTGGGCAGATGTAAGTTTTCTTAATCTCTTTATACAAATCAGCAAAGTCAAATTGTTTCTTTGTAGGATTATTGGGAAGATGTGAGAATTAAATGTCTCGATGTGTTTATGGTACTTGGAAGCATCCTTCAAATACGAAGTACATTAGGTTATTTCCTGTGTTTATTTTTATTGTTTTTAAGTGGAGACAGTGCATTATCTGAAATGGAATATTATTATATATGTACATATAAATTATGTTTTTGTGACTTAACTCTTTGTCAGGGGTAT